CAACACCAGTCTCTGTCGGAGGAAATAAAAGACACAACAGCCACGATATACTGCCAATATCAAATTAGAAGGCCAATTACAAAACATAAAAATGATACCAAGAAAAGTGCCTTCCGGCATCTGGGGAATCTGGAGTCTTCACCACCTGTGGCTGATGGGAATGTAGAAAGCCATTTTGGACAGTACTTTGGTAGTTTCTCACAATGTTAAACATATATATATATACCAGAAACTCCACTCTCTTGTTATATTCCCAAGAGCTATAAAACCATATGTCCCCATGACAGCATGTCAGGTACATGTTTGTAACAGACATAAATATCCCTAACAACTCCAACATCCATTAGTTGATATATAGATAAAGGATAAAGCATCCCCACTCAATGGAATGTTATTTGGTCCCCAAAGGGACTGAAGTATCAATAAATACTTCAGCAAAAGACCCTTGAAAACAATGTGAGTGACAGAAAGCCGTCACGAAAGGCCACACACTACATAGCTTGACTTACACAATGTCCATAATAGACAGATCTACAGGAACAAAAGTAGATCAGTGTTTCTAGAGGCCAAGGAGATCACTGCTAATGGGCATTGGTTGCTTTTGGGTTTGCATTGGTTACTTTTCTGTTGCTGTGACACCACAACCACGGTAGCTTACAGAAGAATTTAACTTGGCTCACAGTTCCGGAGATGGGAGTGTCCCTCATGGCAAAGAGGCATGTTTGCAAGTGGCAGGAATGGTGGCAGGAGCCAGAAGCAGAGAGATCACAGTTTTTTAAATTGTAATTTTATTACAGTTTATTCAATTTGTAAACTGGCTGTGGCCCCCTCCTTCATCTCCTCTGAATCCTACCCACCATCTTTCTTCTTCTCCTATGCCCCTCCCCTAGTCCACTGATAGGGGAGGACCTCCTCCCCTTCCATCTGACCCTAGCCTATCAGGTCTCATGAGGACTGGTTGCATAGTCTTCCTCTGTGGCCTGGCAAGGCTGCACTCCTGCCTCCCCCCCCCCAAAGGGGGAGGTGATCAGAGAGCCTGTTACTGAATTCATGCCAGAGACAACCCTTGTACCTCTTATTAGGGAACCCACTTGGAGACTGAGCTGCCCATGGACTACTTCTGAGCAGGGGGTCTAGGCAATCTCCATGCATGGTCCCTAGGGAAGATGGCCAATCCTCATTCAGAAGGGCAAATATGACATCGACATCGGAAGCAGGGGAAGACAGGGAACAGGACAGGAGCCTCCCACAGACGGCCTCTGAAAGACTCTACTGATCAAGGTATCGAAGCAGAGGCTGAGACTCATAGCCAAACTTTGGGCAGAACACATGGAATTTTATGAAAGAAGGGGAGATAGAAAGACCTGGAGAGGACAGGAGCTCAATAAGGAGACCAACAGAGCCTAAAAAAATCTGGGCCCAGGGGTCCTGCAGAGACAGATACCCCAACCAAAATCACACTTCTTAACCCCCTCTCCCCCCGCCCCCCGACAGCACCACCAACTGGAGACCAAGTGTTAAGATGCCTGAGCCAAAGGGAAACAGTTCTCATTCAAACCGCCTCATTCCACTCCCTGGTCCCCATAGACCTATGGCCATATCATAAAGCAAACTATATTTAGCCCATCTTCAAAAGGTCCCATTGACTTTACAAAAATTTTTAAGGTCCCAAATCCAAAGTCTCTTTTGAGAATCAAGGCTATCCCTTAATTGTACCACCCCGTAGAACCAAATGCACACTACACACCTCTAACATAAAGGTACAGACTATGTGTTACTATTTAAAGAGCGAGAGATGGGGGTGTAACAAGGTAATAATGGACTGAAGAAAGACCAGAGCCCAGCAGGGAAAACAACAACAACAAAATCCCATAACTCTAAATTTGGTGTCTGGGACTTCAGTTTCAAAACAGTTAGATGGCTCTGCTCATTCAGCTTTTGGGCTGCAAGAGATGACGGCTTCCTCTCCCTGTACGCAGCTCTTCTTGGAAGGCATCTCATGGTTCTGGCATCTTCTGCATCTTGCGGCCTCCACTGTGACCCCGGCCTCACTTTCCCAGTTTTATAAAATGGTCTCCAAGGGCTTTTACGCAAGGACTCCTCTGCCACACTCAGCCTGCACCTCAGCGGAAGAGGAAGCATATATACCCTTTCTCTCTTTCATCTCTCTCCCCCAGAGACAGCACTACATGACAACACTGTCAGGGCTGACTGTCAGCACCCACTCAGTAACCCGAGCCTGGCCGCACAAACCTGTACTCTACTACCGGGGACGGAGACAGCAGGATTCCAGCAACTGAGTGGTGAGCCAGCCTAGGAAAAAGGTGGACTTCCGGATCAGTGAGGGATGCTGTCTCAAGGGGATAAGGCTGACAGCGAGAGGGGAAGATACAAGTTCTGCTCTGGCTTCTGTGTGCTCAGCTAACTGTGTGCATGGACCACAGGCACCATCTAACACACACATGTCTATACCCCACACACACTAACATACATACGCACACCACACACACGCTCACGCACATACGCACATCACACACGCTCACATGCAAACGCACACCACACACATTACAACAACACATACACATATACAAACGGACCTTGCCAAGCGAATCCTGCTTACTCTGAAGGTCTGTTCTGAGGTGCCACGTATGTGAGGGTGGAACAACGTTAGCCCAACCAAGAATCCAAAGACAAGTGGAGCGACGAGGCACCAACATTCATTTTTTGGCTGCAAACTCTTTCCAAGAAGAGCGGGAAGCCTTCAAGCAGCCGCCTTGGGCACACGAGCTCTGCAGCCTGGGCCGTGGATTGGGTGATGTACCTATATATCAGGCTGACAAGCAAACATCCCTCCTCAGAGCCAGGCTCACAGGCTCGGGGCTTGGAAAGTGTCATCCTCTCAGCGCCGAAGCCCACAGGCCACAATCTCCCTGTCACACCTGGACAGAGACCGTCAGAAGACAATGTGTGGCTCAGTGTTGTCTCCATTCTGGAGGCTGAGGCCATCAAAAGCAGGTGTGTAATCTAACATGGCTCCGAACAACACAGCAAATCCAGTGCGCCCAGACTCCCCCTAGATCAGTGGTTCTCAGTCTTCCTAATGCCGTGGCCCTTACATGCTGTGGAACCATAAAACTATTTTTGCTGCATATACCCATAATTTTGCTACTGTGATGAATTATAATGTAAACCTCTATCGATGGCTTTAGATGACCCCTGTGAAGGGGTCATTCGAACACAAAGGCGTCACAACCCCCAGGCGGAGAACCACTGTCCTAAGACAAAGCTAACACTTGAATTCTGGTACCAGTTCTCGAGTATTTAGTTTCCCCCCGCCTCTGACGCCGTAAGGAATAGTTTTATGAAAGTAAAAACATAGAACTGCAACTGGTCACTTGAGTTTCCAGTCATACAACTCTTAATACGGTTTAAGAAAAAGTCTTTTCTAAACACAGAAAACCACCAGCTTTCTCACTAAAACCCTAGGAAGTCAGAGCTTTTCTTGGCCCAGGTCTGCCAAGCTGTGTAAAGCACTCCTTGGCAGCCAGACATTCAAGGGCAATCTTATCTCCGCGCCTTCCTTTTTCATACAAAGAACTATCTTAAACCGTCAGAGTGGGTTTTTTCTGTTTGTTTTATATCCCGGACATAATGTCAGACTCAGTGCTGGGTTATCTGAGAAGAATTCCATTTCATTTATTACTATTCTCAGAACAAAGAGGAGAGATCTGTGCAATGAGCGCTTGCAATGGGTTCTCCTTTACCAAAACTGTCTAAAACCCTGGAAACGGATTCGTGACTAATCAGTGTGGCAACAAGGGTTAAAGAGAGATTACCTCCAAGTGCAGTTATCTTGATCCAGATAGCCATAGAGGAAGCAGGCCACGCCCACCACCGCGGCTAGCAGAAGCATCTTCGTGTAATAGCCCAGCCAAGCAAAGTAGATTCCAATCTTCTCTCCATAATACTTCCTGGGGAGAGAGAGGGAGAGAGAAAGAGACAGTTTTCTCAGAGGATCTTCACCAAAACAGCTTCATCCTAGCATGGCTCCTTGGGTTTTTAAGAGAAGGAGGCTTTTTACCTAAACACCTGATTTGGTTCACCCCTCTGTCCTGTTCATCCTCACAGAGGCGCCTAAAGTTTAACCATGGACCAGAAAGGATATTACACGCATGGAAGCGGAGTGAATTTAAAAGGGGCCAAGGAAGGAGAAAGCACTTCGGATGGGGGGTGGAGGGGACAGGGCGTCCCTTGTTCTAGGTGAAGGTGAGCACCGAGTTGCAGTCTCTAAAAGACCTTTTACTATGAGGGGGTCTTCTGCCTGGTCGTCAGCTACCTGCCATTACGTGGCTAGAGAAAAGGCAAGAAGCGAGTTGTAGAGCCCAAGCCTTACTGACTACACAGCTGCCGTGGACGAGGTACGTTTCTGAGAAAACAATGGGTACCTCTGACCCTGGACGGTGCCACCCCACTCTCAAGCCGTGACTTCTCTCTACACAAACATATCTATACACCTACGGTGCAGTAAGAGAAACCCAGCAGGGGAATAGGAGCCGTTCCGTGAAGGTGTTCTCTCTCATACACCACCACCTTCTGTCTGACCACAAGCTATGGAATGAGCAAGACTCAGGCAAATAGTATTCCCGCCAGAGTAGCAAGCCAGGCCCAGTTTCACACAGTGGCCTCTCTGGGCCTCCAAGCAGGGACACCCCTGACACTTCCCTGGCCTCAGCAGCTTTCCTTAGTCACAGAGGGAAATCCTAGCTTTGATTCTAAAGTCAGAACCACATGGCCGAAGCTGCTACTTTCTGCTTCTTTCTGAAGCTGGAACATGACCTCCTTGTTCAATTACATTTGTAATTTCTGTTTTCCATGGTTTCCTTCACTGCCTAAGCTTGGCTGTTCTGGAACTTGCTCTGTAAACCAAGCTGGTTTTGAACTCAGAGATAGTCTTGCCTCAGTTTTCTGAATGCTGGGATTAAAGGCTTCTACCACACACCTGGACCTATTTTTCTTTCCACAAGATGGAAGCTTAGCTGGGTGGGATGTTGCCCTGAGGTCACCACTCCCTTCATTCTACTTAATATCCTTGAACATTGGATTTAGCTCCATTGCACTTCCTGGTGCCTCTTTAATCCCTTGAGCCATATATTTTGTATTTTTCTTATGCAGTTTGCTCTATTTGCAAAATGTTCTTCATAGTAGTGGACCACAGGACAGAGTCTATACTAGGCTATTTTTTGAGATTTCCTTTGTCATTGCCATGAATCTAAATCTCTTTGCCTTAGCCTCATGTAGACTCTTCAGGGAAGGGCAAAAAGCAGCCACATTTTTTTTTAACAAAATATTACGAGAATGATCTCTAGGCAACACACTAAAAATCTTCTCCTCTGAATCCTCTTAAGCCAGACTCCCACAGTTCAAATCACCCTCAGCACCACTCTCTTCCATGCCCCTGCTAGTATGGCCCATTAAGCCCTGCTTAAAGCATTCCACTGCTCTCTGAAGCTCCTAGAGCCATAGTCCTCCAAACAAAAGCGTGGTCAGCCCTATCACCGCAATACCCAAGGCCCTGGTACCAACTTCTGTCTTAGTTTGGGTTTCATTGCAGTGAAGAGACACCATGACCACAGCAACTTTTTTTTTTTTTTTTTGAGGTTGTGACAGACCATGGGCCTTTTGAAGCTGAACTAAATGTGTTTTGCATTACGTCATGGTTGCAAGCCTGCAAGGGCCAGGGAGTAGAATGATCAAACCTCTCTAGACGCTCCCAACCTGGATCTCTAGAGGCTGACTGAACTTCCTACTAAACTTTTTCCTATTCTATTTTTATTTTTCAAAAGCTTTATTTTGTTTTACAGGGATCTTTGCTGCCATCTACTCAGACTCTATCTCATTTTCTCTCTCCGAGGTAAATAAGGAGACCATGGCAGAACTCTTTTTCTGGGCTGAGATGTTTCCTGCAGATTGCTTTTTCCTAGTTTGCTTGGGTCACTTTTACAGAGAGAAAATGTCCCACTTTTGATAATTTCAAGATGTTACTGGTGACACAGGAAAGGAAATGACAGGTGGAGTAGGGCAGGGACAAGTTAGCAAATGCATTTGATTCACTTAAAACAAGAATCCCTCAAACCCACTGCTATGCATGCAGACATAAATGGTTTCTGAAGTTAACAAAATGGAGAAACTTCACAAGGCTGTCATCCTCGAATGCAGTCAGCCCTTCACCTGTGGGTCCGACACCCAGAGGTATCAACCGCAGACACTGGGGTTGTCTACAGCTATACCATGCTGAATGCACCGTCTCACCTGAAGACGCTGGGGTCAGAGTTCACCTACACTGAACATGCTGAGACTCTTGTTCCTGCGCTAACTCCCTGGACTGTACAGCAGAGGACCCACCCACAAACATGGTATTTCCACTACCTTAGGGATTATAAGCCATTAAAAGACGATTAAAGATTTAAGGTATGTGGGAGAAGGGCATGGGACGTAAGGGACTCCTTATTCTCAGAGGCTCCAGACAGCAGCTCCTCACGAGTGTCCAGAAGACTGTTTTTACACGTATACGCCCACATACTATTTTAATCTACCGGGTAGGCAGAGTTGGCAGGAGTACCTCTGTGTGACAATAATCCAGGTAATATTAAACAAGGGAGGACTAAAGAGGGCCAAATGGAATAATTAAATGAATCTTTATGAGATTATTAATCTAACAAACAAACAAAAAAATTTTTAATGGCTGCTACCTTCACAAAAACGAGGCAAGAGGAAACCATGCTAACAGAAGCACACAAGGCTGTATGTCAGGCATCCCTACACAAAGCAGGTCAAGCCACCGGGAGGGGATGATGTCACCACAGCAAACGCACAGGACAGAGGTGAGCTTCAACAATACCACCGCGCCAAGACCGCCGGCTTCTGAGAGACAAGTTCCATGCTCTCGTGATTTCCTCGGAGGTAACGAAATGACATCTAACAGCAGAAAAACACTGAAAATGCTCCCAGCTTCCCACACAATGAGCTAATGACTCTACCACTTACTCCTGAGCAATGAAGGAGTCTCTCTAGGTCGCTGGCTGACTGGTAACCTCTAACCCCTGGGCAGTTCCGGAGAGGGAAGAGAGTCTCTCCAGTTCGTGGTGGGACCACACTGACAGTTTGAGACACCACAGGGCTCCACTGGGTGCTTCTCACTGGAATACTGCCTTCTGCTCACCTGATAAGATCCAAGGGCTGCTTCTTGTATATGCTCCGAGGGTGAGCCCATTCCCTGTACAGAAGGTAACGCTCGCTAGGACAGCTGGGGTCCTCCGACACATAGTTGAATTTGCACTGAGGAGAAGCAGAAAGAAAGAAATGAGCACCACAGTCCTCAACTTAAAATGGCCATTGTGGGAACTGGGCTCCCACTTGTTGGAAGGGACAGCTATGCCATTTAAGTTCTAGTGATTCTAAAATAAGGGTGATAACTATTGCCCTTGAGGGTCTTCTGGGAATAGAGATGGCAATGGATGCTTGGATAGTGGGGCTGGTAGCTGTCACTCTTAGCGAGCAGGGCAGGGAGGTGTTGGGAGCCCCAACGATGCTGATGTCCTGAAATGAGGCAGTGCTGAGCAATAAGAAACGGGACCTCTCAAGACTTCAGGTCCTCTCAGTCCAGAGCCATCTATCTGAAAGCCCACCCTTGCATGGTGGGGGGACCAGGACACTGGTGGGCAGCAGGCCACTGTTGGTGCTTCATCAGCTCTCGGTTCAGCAGTTATGCTGGCGCTAAGTAAGTAGCAAAGACTGGGTCACGTCACCTAAGAAGCAGAGCCTCCTGCCTCTGTTTAGATCCAATCACCCCTTTTCCTGTCTAACCTACCCTCCTGCTCGTGCAGGGAACCGTATTACCAAGAAGCCCAGCCTTGGTAAGAGCCCTGATCCCTGCCTGCTCCCACTCACACCACTGGATTACTCCAGGCTTGGAGATCTGAAAGACCCGGGCACAGACAAACGTCAGTGAGTATTTTAGGATGGTTATGTCTGACACTAGCATCCAGAGAACGATGTGTACCGTCCCTGAGGTTCATAAGCTTCCACTGCTAGTTTTTGCTGGGGCACAAAAATAGAACCAACTGTCAGGCTCGGTGGCCACACTGGATCTCCCAGGAGGCTCAGGCCTTGCTGTCTCGGCCCCGCCTCCCACTCTCTGGCTCATCCATGTGAACCAAGCACCTGTTTGAAGTTCCAGTTTAGTTTTGATATATGGTAGATCTGAAGATTGTCCTCTACCCCCAATGCACATAACACATAGCAGCAATGGTCAAAGTCAGTGCTTGCTTTCTTTGGTTGTAGAGATTTAGATAAAGTGGTAGAAAATGCAACGAAGTACCAGTGTGATTGATGCGGTATTCAGTATGTTTCGATGACAGGACACAGTAAACGCTTCTAGATATATAACGGCCTTGCATGTATGTTGTAGTGAAGGTTGGAATGATCACGTTTAAAAGAATACAGTCCATAGGAGACACTAGCTGCTTGATAAACACTCCTGAATCCAATGGGTCACTGTAGCCTTTGAACAGTCCTTTCACAGAGTCAATACTCTGGGGCCTTGTCACTGTGACATGAACCCTGGTAAATCCCCTTTTAAGAGCCTGATAGAGCTTTGAAATAGTATTTCAAGGAGGAAAAGTCTACTTACAGAAAATGTCAAATTAGAATTTCTGACATGTTTTCCTTACAAACCAAACCAACCAACCAACCAACGAACCAACCAACCAACCCCTGTTCTTTTTTTTCTGGTAATGACATCTGTCAGTATTACGAAAGTAGCTACCGCTTACATGACAGGGTCTAATGCTTTATATAAAGTTAATTAGACAACTCGAGGAAGGAACCACAACACCTTCTTCGCTAACAAGGGCACGTGGGGGCAGGCGGAATAAATGGCTCACGAGGCCACCTAGCTGGGGCGTGGAAGAGAGACTGTACAACCAGTCACCCAGCAGGTGCTGCCCTGTGGAATCTGAGCTGTTGCCCCCTTTCCGGAGGGACAGAACTCTTCACTCTGCCTAGTCCTTTAAACCCAGCAACGGCTCTCTACCTAGGTGCTTTGGATTGTTCTTGCCCTGGACCAGCTTGTGATCTCTCCAGATATCATCTTTGTCTTACTGAGGAAGAGACAGAAGAAGTCTAATCCTCCCTGTCACTGGGCGCTTTTGGTTTCGCCATCTGACTTACGTCGTGTAGAGGGAACGCTGCTTTGTAGATTCCGGAACTGACCAGTCTATTAATCCCAAACTTGGTAACGTTGTTCATCACTTGGTATTTGACCCGAGAGAGGATGAAATAGACCTAAAAAGATTTCAAAACGGACTGTGTTGTTTTTACTGTAGAACTAGCCCATGAAACCACTGTTTATTACCACAGCAGAAAATGACAGGCACGGAACTAACACCGATACTACTAATTATAGTATTTTTTCAGTTTCTAAAAACAAAACCACAACAACTCCAACAAGCGGCTACTCACTCAACAGCAGCTGTCTCAAATCTCACCGAAACAGAAACCACATTCGGCTTAGACTTACAATGCGGCTTCTAGTGGCAGGGTTGAAGAAGGAGTCTCTGTCCAGGATATAAAAATCATTCATCCGGCTCTTCTCAAACGGTGCCGTGAAGAACTCCTGCTCCGGCTTGATGACACTCTCGTTCACGCGGAGGACCTTGGTGAACCAGTTGAGGGTGCCAAAGGCCGAGCTCAGTTTCAGGTCATTTGGTTTTAGGGGGAGTTTGATGTGCATGATCTCAGCATAAGTGCACAGCACTTCCCAGGGCGCATGCACCTTCACGAACACAAGCTTGTCATCGGAAACCTTGGAAGGAGCGAGGAAAACAAACAACTGTGTTCGCAATTTTAAAGCACAGATTCCCCCCACTTCCCGCGCTCCCGTAGGTTTTAAAACAGAAACCTACACAAAGAGGACACCAGCAGAAGTGAAGACAATGTCAGATCTGCAAATGATCATGCATTTTTTTTTTTCTTAAACATAATTCTTCAGTTTGAATTAAGAAACATAAGACTGGTAATTTTTAAAATATTTACTTTTTTAAGTTTTTACTTGTGTGTGCGTGTATGTGTCTGCGCTTGTATGTGCAGGTGGTACAGGTGGCTCACAGCAGCCAGGAGAGGGCATCAGATCCCTGGGAGCTGGAGTTGCAGGCAGATGCTCTGAGAACTGAACTTTGGTCCTCCCCGGGAGTGGCAAATGCTGCTAAATGCTGAGCCATCCCTCAGGACTCACACTAACAATATCTTAAGTGAGGAAAGCGAACTGTTAATTTGTCGGCACAGAATCTAAGTTAGTGGCTTGGAATAACAACACTAGGATAATTTTGCTATCTAAACCAGGAAACGGGCTGCTTTAATTTATGCCTATGCACTGTGCAATGTGGATATTGATGTCAAGGAATTACACTCACTACTACAGATAAGCAGTCTATCTGTAAAAGCCCGCTGTAAGGGTGAAGTGAATTCCCCCTTGCAAAGGAAGAGGCATGCACGGGGTGTGTCCGCTGGTCACATGTGCGGAAGTCAGAGGATGACTCTCACACGCCAGCTCTCGCCTCCAGCCACACAATCCCGGGCCTCACCTCATCCCATCAGGTTTTTGTGGCAGGTGCCTTTGCCCACTGAGCCATCTCACTGGCCTGTGGTACAGGCTTTGCCTGTCTCCTTTCCCCCGCTGTTTGTGGTCCAGCTCTGGCTGCATGGTTCCCGAGCACCCTCCCTCCCCACCAGTTCAGCTGAGGCACAAGCTCCCAAGCACAGTGGCTGGAGAAGGGTTTCAAAGAAACTAACACTTACTGAGCGCGTTGCCTCCAGCTGCAGGCCGTGGCAGATGAGGTTAGACTCATACGCTTGTCTTTTCCTCTGACAAAAGGAACAGGAATACAAGTTAGAACGCCAGTTTTAGCAGAAAAGACTGTTTTCAAAGGAAAAAAAATAGCTGACTGTTTTGGCCTTGAAGAGATACATTTGCTCAAGATGGAACAAAAGCAACCAGTTCAATGGTGATAGTTCCAAGAGAATGCAAGAGAATGTAATGTAATGGATTTCCTGTATTCTCTGGAGCGCTATGGACTGGCCTGTTGGGGCTTTGGTCCTTTGGGGGGGGGGGGTGTCTATAAAAATTTCTGTGGCACAATCCTTAGCTCCCAAAAGCACACAAAAGGAAAAAATTTTTTTGAGTCTCATTCACTGACCAGAGTTAAAGATTCCAGATTTAAATTTTTTACTCAAATGATTCAATATTAGATGCGTATAGATTAAACACACATAAATGCAAACAAACAAACAAACACATATGCGCACACACACTCCATGCGCAACTTACCTAAGTCAATACAACAATATAGAGAACTCTAACAAGGTTCAAGGTGTTTACAATGAAATGCTCATCAAGCCATAAACATCTCCAAGTCCACAAAATAGGAACTATCTGATAACATAGCCCCGCTCCCACGTTACAAGGCCAGTTCAGAAGGTACATACACATACATGCCCATGCAAATAAAACTTAAAAAAATAAACATTAAAAAATCACTAGTGTTGTTTCTTAATTCAAACTAAAGAGTTGTGTTTAAGTAAAAAAAAAAAAAAAAAAATGTATAATCATTTGCAAAGCTGATATTATCTTCACTCTCGCTTGAAGTGCTACTAAGTTCCAGATGGTCAGGCATCTGCAGACGGAGGCCCAGGGCATGAGGAAAGCATGCAGGCGTGCGGACTGCGGCTTGAGTTCCTGCCCTCATATCCCTTCAGCGCTGTACTTCAAGGTGTAAGCTGAAAGCCTTTCAAGCTGTAAGCCTTTCAAGCGCAGGTTGCTTTTTTGGGCCTGGGGTCGATCATAGCAATAAAGAGGAAGCAAAACAACTGTGCTGTGAAGGCATCAGAGAGAATGGGTGGGTGGGGGGTGGGGATGCGTAGGGGGGCAGAGGTTAAGAACACGAGCACTCACTGAGCTAGAACTCTCTTTCCATCAGTTATCACCTCTGCAGCCTACAGGAGGAAACCCAGTCCCTCTGTGTTGCTCTTTCATTTGTTCATACTTCAGGGGCGGCCCTCTACATTTGCATAAGACAGGGATTTAAACTGCCTGATGCACACAGACCTGAATGTCCATTTCTTGTAATGGTGGGAGGTGACTTGAGGCAACCTTCTCACTGAAGACAACTAAGAATAGTGGATGTTTTTCCTTCCTTCCTTCCTTCCTTCCTTCCTTCCTTCCTTCCTTCCTTCCTTCCTTCCTTCCTTCCTTGCTTCCTTCCTTCCCTTTCCCCCCTCTCTCTTTCTTTATTTCTTTCTTCCCTTTTAAAACAACTCCAACATCCATGTGCTGCCAGCCAGAGGTCAAGATAACCCAGGGGTAGCAGTCAGCCTCTTTACCCAGAAGGTACCACTTCTGACTTGCTCCTGAGAGGAACAGGGAAGGCCCTAAGCTGCTGTGCCCCAAATACAGAAAGATCCTTTTAAATTTGTTGTGGACACCCAGTATGTGGCTGACCCCGAGTCCAGCTCTACTCCAAACCTGTGTCCACAGTGGTTCTTTTGTTACTACTGTTGTTGTGGTTTGGTAGAGTCATATGAGAGAGAGAATCTCAACTGAGAAAATGTCTCCAGCAGATTGCTTGTAGGCAAGTCTGTAGGGTCTTTTCTTTATTAATGACTGATATAAATGGGCCCAGTCCATTGGGGTCAGTGCCACCCCTGGGCGGGTGGTCGTGGGGTCTGTAAGAAAGCAGGCTGAGCAAGCCATGAAGAGCAAGCCAGTAAACTTGGCTTCATGGCTCCAGCTAGGTTCCCACCTCCAGTTCACACCCTGATCCCCCTCAGTGGTGGGGTGGGACCTGGGAGTACAAAATAAAATAAAACCCTTTACTTCCCAAGTTGCTGCTGTTATTTACCATGGCAACTGAATCCCTAACTAAGACGCCCTGAACTGGAAACCAAGTGCTGCCATGCAAAGAGGAACTCATTCTGTGATGACGAGCCGGAAAGTCACCTCTAGAGAGAAAACTTAATGGAAAGCTGGCGGTGACCCCAGCAGCGGCCGAGATTTCAGTTAATATTTTATTACTTACTTTTCTGTCAGTGGGATAAAATTCCCAACAGAAATAGCTTAAAGGAGGAAGGGAATCCCGGCAGGGAAGATGGGCGGTGCTCATGGCGGCAGGAGGTGGAGAGTGGCCTGTTTACATGGTGGTGATCAGGAGACACGGGCCAGGGAGCTGCCCCACACTCCCAAGGTGCCCCTCATGCTTCGCACGTAACCAGCTGAACCCCATTCTCTGCTTGAGGGCTAGCTTCCTTTGTCGCAGAGTCCATGGTGGCCATCACTGTATCTTCCTTCCTCCCCATTAATTGCTGGTGCCATCTTTCTCTATGGCACCGGAAAGCCACTCACTTCTTGATCTTACTGGGTAATGCCTTCTATTTTTCTCACTGCTCTTACCTGTCAGCCAAAAATCACTTAAAATGCTTTCCATTCTAAGACCATCAAATCTCCCATGGTCCTCTTGTCTTTTATTACCACTCCTGCCCCTAGAGATGTGGATGATTTAATATCAGTATCATTAGTACTTAATGACTCAGGCCCATACAATAGCGTGCACGCCGTAAATGTCTGAAAAATGAATAAACTGAGCGCACTGTAGACTAGCGGCTCCCTGTTGCTCAGAGATGAACTGGCTCAGAAATGAGACCACTGAAGAAACAACTGGGCTCCTTCATCCTTAACCCCCAGTGAGTCTTTAGCTGTGGGTACTGTAGGGTAGAGTGGAGGAGGAGAGGTACAGTTCTATTGTTGGAGTACCCCAATATCAGAGACCACAGAGCTTCCACAGCATTTGAGGTTCCCAGGCATGACAGAGAGTTGAAGAAGAAGAAGACAGAAGAGGAATGGTTGGAAAGCCGGGCTAGTCTCTCATCAGACACACCAAAGCAGCCACTCCTCACTTGGTCTTGACACCTGCACCAACCACATATCATACACTGGACTTTGCAAACCAGATGCGGTCTGTTCCTCCACGGATTTCTCTGAATGGAGGCGGTAACTTCCCGCTACCTTCACTGGCACTCTCCTCATGGATCTACTCAACCCCCTGAACATCCTCTTTCTGCTCTCATAATTTGGATTTCCTTTACTTCCGGATGAGGGGCAAAACTCAAATCCTAGCTCTTGTATTTAACTAACCTGTGTGATGCTGGGCAGTTATCTGAGATAAGTACCACCGTTTCCATCTCTAGAGTTGGTGAAGAAATCGCTTCATCTTAGGATTAAAGATTACATGTGACTTCAGGAATACAATGTGACCCATGAGGTACAGTCCACAGGACTTGCAGAATCACCTCTCCTTTCAGAAATATGAAAAACTGGCTGTCCACCCTGCCCCTGCACTACACACCCAGTGACCCCAAATCCCTCCGCCGAGAAGCTTTGTGCCCTTCTACAGGAACGTTTCAAACAGCCTTAACCTTCAGTTACCTGGCCCTCTGTCTTCCATGCTTTGTGTTCATCTCAATCCTGATCTTTAAGCCCCGTCCTTGGTAGCTAAAGCGTGTGTATCCCTTTACCATCCTTTCAAGGAAACAATGTGTCTGCCTAACTCTTCTGCCCCACTTCTGTATGTCCCACGGGCACTGACACACACTGTAGCACACGTGTGCGACATACAAACTCCCTTCGATACAATTTTCATGGCTTAATAATATTCTTTCCGGGTGACAGACTAATTCTATTTCACCAACCTCAAATTGTTAGATATTTGGATTGCTTTTAATTTCCCGCTCTCAAAGTGAAACAACCTCTGTGCACCTTTTATTACTTCCTTAGGGCACAACACTAGAAGCACAACTGTTAAATCAAGTGTGTCTGAAAGTCCTTTAGCACGCACAGCCATAACGCCCTCCAGAAAGGTGGCACTAATTTATCTTATTTTCGTTCTTATTTAGTTCTTTATAAAGAAGTCCCAAGGTATTCACCTGACTTGCTTCACATAATTGGTAGAGCTTGGAGGTGGCTTCTAATGCCTCCGCACAAACTATAAACACTTAAACAGTCGACTCGAGGACTGGGCGTTCACATTTGCTTGAACACGTTAATAAACCACCTCCATGTTACTTTAACGACTTAGATCCTATTATTTCCCTTCGGCATGTCAATTCGCAAAGAACCAGTGGCATATTTTAAAAATTGATCTAACCAGTTTTAGTTGTGTCAAGCAAGTAAAATAAATGAGCCTGTGTACTCTGTTTGTCAAACAGGCGCTGAGGGGGAAGCCGTTGCTCACTTCAAAGACTCCTGAAGTCTGTGTATGAAGTCGTCATCTTTACTTCTTGGTAGAATTTATACTTGCATCAGTAACTGCTCTTGACACCTGAAAAATTAGTGCAGAATGTCTTCTACATTAAAACCCATGCCAACTGATATTGCATATTGACTGACACAGCCACTGCTCAATAAATATTTGTTGAATAAGTGATTATCTGAAGACACACTTTTAACTAAAATTTATCTCAGCGGCTTGCTGGGAAACCTTATGTATGAAATCTAAGCCATCACTATGCCCTCTGATTTGTATTTGGTAGCAAAAAAAAAAAAAAAGAAAGAAAGAAAGAAAGAAAGAAATTAGAGTCTCATTCTCTCTTTTTAAAAATCAAACCTTAAAGTGAACTGTGCTGAAATTCTTACATCTCTATGGAAGCAAATCCATCAGTAAGGCAATGAGATCTATCTTCTTCGCATATGGAATTCTGGTAAAGCCAAAGTGACTAATCATTGTGACGATGTGTCCCTCACAGAAAGAAACTCAGGGTCTATCTGTGTGTGTGACGGGGGAGAGAGTGGGCTCACAGCTCAAGGCGAAGAATCG